AAATCCCTGCCCGGGCACCGTGTCACTGTGAATCCTTTCCCCAGAAGGATGAGGGTGAGCAGGAAGATGAGGAAGCTGGAGGAGAAGAGCAGCTTGGCTGGGAAGGGAAGGGAAGATGGCTCAGGCACGGGCTCAGAGAGGTCAGCAGACCCCTGGTGAGGTTTCTGCCCTCCCTTGGCTCCAGTCTATTCTCACCCAAGATCTTCAGGCTCCCATTGCCAATGCCATCTGTGGCATACTGGCCCCAGTAGATGCAGAAAAACAGGAGGCTCAGAACTGGGAGAGATGAGAGGCCAAAAAAAGACAAGTCAAAAGGCAGCTTTGGTGTATCACTGTCCTTGAGCACAATGATCCAAATGTCTGACCCTCTGCCACCCCCATCAGAAGTCCGGAGTATCTGTTACTGCGCCCTGCTAGGAAACTATAGAGGCTATGGCTCCAGCCTCTTTCCCTCAGAGCCAACAGGCCCCACCTTTCCTCAGACCTAAGGTGTAGATGGAAGACTTCCTCCCTCACACCCTCCCAAGGCTGTCCCCTCAGAGAACCCAAAATCTGGAATACTTTCAAACCTCACCCTCAACTCCTGCTGCAGCCATGAACATTTTATAAGTTGTGTGGAGTAACTGCCGGCCTTTCAGCAAATCTAAGAAGGAAATGGGAGAGTTGTACACAGGTGAGGGAGGGACATTTATTTCCCCTCTCCGCTCTCCCGCCTCTCTCCCTCTCTCTCTGTCTCTCTCTCTCCTTTCTTTGTTTTGTTTCTCGAGACAGGGTTTCTCTGTGTAGCTTTGGAGGCTGTCCTGGAACTTGCACAGAGACCAGGCTGGTCTTGAACTCACAGAGATCCACCTGCCTCTGCCTCCCAAGTGCTGGGACTAAAGGTGTGCACCACCACCAACGCCTGGCTTCTCCCGCTTCTCTTAACCCTCACACCAAATGTACTGTACTCACATCCAAAATAACAAGAGAGGATGAAGATGAGGGTGAAGATGAGGAGAAAAGTCACATCTGTCTCCAGGATGCCTAGGATTCAGTGGAAGGGGTGGGAGAAAGCTTTTTGAGTGTGTCTCTCGACCCGCTCCTGGCTTCCATCCTGGCCTGTTCCTCCAATACCTGCTCACCAAATTCATCCGCTGAGAAGTGTCGTGTCCAGAAGGACTTGCCGTTGGTAAGGACCATCTCATACTCCAGCTGCAGTCCATCTCCCTGTAGGGAGTGGGGAGGCCTAAGAGGGACTCTGGGTAGGTAGAGGAGGTCAACAGGAAAGGAAAGAGGAGAAAAGCCAGATGGCTGCCCCAGCCCCTTACCCCACACTTGCTGAGCGCGATATACCACCATCTTTCACGCACAGAGCGGAAGCTGCGGCCACTGGAGCAGCTCAGGTAGCGAGTTCCCTCTTCTGACACCACCTGGGGAGAAGCCAGAAGGCTGAAGCTTTGTCCTTGGTGCCACCAGCCCCCCCCCCCGACCTTTAGCACCTGCACACTCCCTCGCACCTGACAGCCAGACCAGGCATACTGGGTGGTAAGATTGATGACCTGGTTGTTTTCTGGCCTGATGACAGACTCCTTGGCCAAGCAGTCCTAGGGCAAGGAAGGAAACATGGTCACCATCTGAACGACTGTGGCCTTCTGCCCCTCCATACACACCACACACACTCCTCACAGCCCTCACCTTGTCCCTTGCTTTGTACACAGCTGGCCACTGGGACGGGTCGTCGAAATAGAGGAGGATGTTCTGACAGCACTTGTCCTGAAGATCCAGAGGTTTGGCGGTTGGGGGGTGTTTACAGGAAGCTGGACAGCTATTGCCTTGGAGGGCCAAGGTAGTGTCCCACCTTACGAGTGTGGCTTTGGAGACTCACCTCAGGGTATCGGAATCGGAAGTCCAGTCGGCCATAATCGGAGAGGAAACAAAATCTTGTCAAGAACACCCAGTCCTGGCAAAAGGACCCAGTGAAATCTGAGTTCTTCAAGAACTCAGCTTGACCCCACCCACAGACCCTCAACTTTTCTTCCCTACCCGAGGCTATTTGGCTTCCCAAATGCCACAGGGTGGCTAAGTCACCTCCAGAATCTCCCCACCCAAATCCATTTGCTGTGTTTCTAAATTCCTGCTGCCCTGCTTTCCCCTCAGATGACCCTCAAGTTCCCTCCCCTCCTCCTCCCCCCC